CCTGACTTACCTGGATGTCCCCTGACTCACCTGACGCCCCCCTGACTCACCTGACTCACCCCTGACTCACCTGACGCCCCCCTGACTCACCTGCTGACCCACTTTGCAGCTGCGTGACCAGGCGAGCGAGCAGCGGCGGGAGCGGCAGGGCGACGCAGAGAAGCTGCGCCGTCTCGCGCAGCAGCTGGAGACGCTGCGGCAGGAGAAGGAACGCTGCACCCTGCGCATACATGCGCTCGAGCAGCAGGTGGTGTAGCTGGTGTAGCTGCTGCAGGTGGTGTAGCGGCGGCAGGTAGCGTAACCAAACACTCAAACTAATATCCAGAAATCTCGACACTGAATTGGTGCAACGTCATTTTTTATCTTATCTATGTATATACTTTAAATAGCAATTCCATAGTAAAGGGATCATAAATTCACATAATAACTACGGAGATGTGAACAATAATTGAGCATGCCGTCTTACATAATTCAGACGTTATGGTAACGGGCGTAAGTGCCATTCAAGAAACGTTAATGAAAGGATGGTGCGCTGAGCATATATGAGCCCTTTCAAATGAGCCTTTTTTGTATATGATGAGCCTTTATGTATATGAGCCTTTTTTGTATATGAGCCCTTTTCTCTCTTTTCGTTTTCATGAAATCCTCGTCGAGACCTGGTGGTTTAGTTTAACTCATAACTTTTTCACTCGAAATCATTCATTTATTTTTGAGGTAATAAAGCACATTAATTACGATGTAGATTTCCTTCAGAATTATCTAATTGTAATCACGGTGCGTCTCTTTGAGCGATTGGTAGTCTTATTGATTAATAAATTTCAATTGAGATTGACTGGTAGATTTCAGCAACGATTGCCTGGTGGATTTCAGTCAATCCTGTTTTATTTCGGTCACGATTGCCTGTTATATTTCGGTCACGATTGCCTGTTGTATTTCGATCACGATTGCCTGTTATATTTCGGTCACGATTGCCTGTTGTATTTCGGTCACGATTGCCTGTTGTATTTCGATCACGATTGCCTGTTATATTTCGGTCACGATTNCAGAGTGTCCACCTCAGCTCTGGACGCCGAGATACAGGTACCCCAGAGTGTCCACCTCAGCTCTGGACGCTGAGATACAAGTACCCCAGAGTGTCCACCTCAGCTCTGGACGCCGAGATACAGTCAGAGTGCCCGACGTACAGGCACGTCAGAGTGCCCGACGTACAGGCACGTCAGAGTGCCCGACGTACAGGCACGTCAGAGTGCCCGACGTACAGGCACGTCAGAGTGCCCAACGTACAGGTACGTCTGAGTACGTTACAGTTTTTACAGTTACAGTTTTACGTTACAGTTGCACGCCCGTCCTAACGTCTCCTCCTCCGCAGAACTTGTCGGGCCTCTCGGTGTCGCCTGGGGACGGCCGCTCCAGCCGCCGCTACGGCTCCGTGTCGCCGCGGCGACGCAGGGGCGACACCGGCGCCAAGAAGAGCCTCGCCTTCTCTTAGATCTGGCGGTGACCTCTGAACCTCTGAGTTTTCTGAACCCGTGGATCTTCTTAACCCGTTGGGTCTCCTGAACCCATAGGGTCTTCTGAACCCGTTGGGTCTTCTGAACCCGTTGGGTCTTCTGAACCCGTAGGGTCTTCTGAACCCGTTGGGTCTTCTTAACCCGTAGGGTCTTCTGAACCCGTTGGTTCTTCTGAACCCATAGGGTCGTCTGAACCCGTTGGGTCTTCTGAACCCATAGGGTCTTCAGAACCCGTAGGGTCTTCTGAACCCGTTGGGTGTGATGAACCCTCGGAATCTTTGGTATCCCTAGTGTTTTCTGAATCCTCAAGGTCTCTTTAGCTGTCAGGGCCCTCCTAATCTTTACAGTCCTTTGTCTCCCAATGATTCTCTCTGCACCCAAATGCTTTCTGCGGAACCTTAGTGGTTCTATCTGAATCTCAGTGTTTCTTTCCGGACCTCACGGCTACTCCCTGAATTTTAGTGGTAAACTTTGAACCAATGTGATTCTCTGAAGAAATTAGTTTTCTTTCTGAATCCTAGTGGTATTTCCGATAGAAGTGGCCCACTCTGGTTCGGAATGGCCCACTCTGGTTCGGGGTGGCCCACTCTGGTTCGGGGTGGCCCACTCTGGTTCGGGGTGGCCCACTCTGGTTCAGGGTGGCCCACTCTGGTTCGAGGTGGCACACTCTGGTTCGGGGTGGCACACTCTGGTTCAGGGTGGCCCACTCTGGTTCGGGGTGGCACACTCTGTTTCGGGGTGGCCCACTCTGTTTCGGGGTGGCCCACTCTCATCTCTTTATGAAAGCTCCTTCTCTTGCCTGAACAATTCCCCCACAACCGCCGCAGCCACGGGAGACAAAACTACAATTTGAGGCGCGGCGGTCGTGGCGCGCCTCGTCTCACATGAAGCGAGCGTCTGAGCGTGAAGTGACCAGAGACGCATCGCACCAACGCCTTGAATGACGCACATTTTTCACTGTCCTGACTTTTATATACGAGTTTAGAAATTTGTTGAACGAATCATCGTTTTTGGCGTCACGCTGAAGCCTATTGGTCACAAGTGGGAAAATTTTATGGATTTAAATGAAATTAGATTTGCAATTGAATAATTTTGAATCCGCTTTCATAATCTTGGCCGCCTAAATGGATTACTTTATTATCGTTGCTGCGTATTTATTTGACAGTTGAGGTTGTAATAACGCTGTTCAAAGTTGAAAAGTTTGTAACACGTATTATGTTTTAAATTGTATGTGTGCGTTAATAGCAATTTAGTTAATTATAGGTGAAAATAATTTAATTGTAGTGTCGAAACCTGACAATTCAACCTCATTTTATCTTTTATGTATGGCAATATTGTATGTCTAAGCCCAAATATTTACATGGCTGAATTTGTGCGCAATAAAACTACGCATTTGATCTTCGTTATGAGAATTTTTTCAGACTTGAGTTGCCCTACACACAATGCGGATCAATTGGTTTACAATAAGTATGCGTTTAAACCATTTCAGTCTGTTATAAAATCACTCGATTGCTTAAATCGCGAATTGATCAAGAATTTAAAAGTAAAGAAAACAGCCAAAAAAATTCACCATTTCTTAAAAATAAAAACGTTTCGGAGTCCAGCTATATCCTAAATTTCAGTCTGGCATTACTGAATTACTTCCTACATCGGAGCTAACTTCTAGCGTCCACATCAATTTTATTTTATTATAATTGATCAGTAATAAAAAGGGCGCCATAACACGACGCCTCAAAGTGACCAAAAGTCTTCAGCGTGCGAAGAATATCTAATTACTCGAGCATTTGTGAATGATCTCATATCTTATAAGACGTATCTGAAGCTGCCGTTGATATTAGTTAGAAGAAAGTCGTTGATTTGAAGGTAAAATGCGCTCTATTCGTGACTGATTTCTTCAACATTGTGAGCTCGCTGATTTGAAAGAAAATTCACTATTGATGATGAATTTGAAATTGTGAATTCGTTTATCTAGGCGCTTAGAATGGATTTCGTTATATGACTTCGTATTGAATCCCCCAATATTATTTTAAGTAAATATTGCACTACCTCCAGCAGTGTGGCCTAATGTGCTTGTTATTTTATTATTATTTTTTTTAAACACAAGAACAAAGTTTCTAATTTGTAATCTAATGAGCTTGCAAATGTTTATTTGACGGAAATACGACTTTAGTAATGTAATTTTTTCATTATCACGAATTTATTTCTGAAAGATACTTCATACAAATTTCATCATTGAAGATTATTCACAATTTAGACGCGAATAGTGCTGTTCATTTTACCCTCAATTCAATAGTTTAGCTTTTTAGAATTGACGAAGTTGGTGAAATAGTTATTAAGAATTGTGCAGCTTCTGTGTTGTATGTGTATGCACATTCTACCTTAGCCGTCCTATTGCGTGCCTTTCAATGATCACCGTTTGTAATTTCCTCTCAATTATAACGTTGTTCAATTTCAGCTTATAATTACTACTAGCTTGCGATTCTAACATGCGTTGATAAATAGCTACTCGAACTAAATATCTTATTCAAGTTTTAATCAATTAATTTTCCAATCAATTATCAATAATAAATTATTTTTAATTAATAAATTTAATTTAATTTTGCATTGCATAAATTTTAATCATATTGCCTATAATCTATCGATCTTTCTTGGGTCTGAAAATACTATAAGTTCTTCCAAAAACGTCATAGAAAAACGAACGTTCCGTGTTAACAAAAATGCTTACAAGTTTTCTGGGGCTTTGTAATCAAAATTTTATCTTTGTTGGCAATCCAAAATCTATCGAATTTAATCTTGATTATTACTGGTCAATTAAGAAATTTCAGATTATAAAAAGTTGTAACGAAATACTTGTGTTATCAAAACGGTTTTTGGTAAGAATCTTTGTCGTCTCATTCGCATTTGATGTAAACATTTCTCTGTCGCACAATTTATCTGTACATTTTTTAAAACGGAAATCTACGCACACGGCAGTCTTTTGATCCTCAGATCGACGAAATTGTTACATTTTTCCAAGTATTTTGTGACAAAATTATATTTAAAGTAATTCGCTCTCTGGAATGATGTAACCAAATTAAACAAACGATATAACAAAATCTATCATTGTGGTTGAATCGTCCTTATTTAAAATCAACGTACTGAAAAGACTGCCGTGTTTTGTGGCGTCTCCTCTACCATGTTCATTTAGACAAGAATTTATTGTATCCAAGCCAAGAATGATTGCCTTCGAATGGCATGTCTCGGTCACAGCAAATTTCTCATGGTAGATCCTCATTTATTATTAATTTAAATTCTGATGAGCATATTTTACTGTCTTTTAGGATGACACAGCAAATGTTTCAAATCTTGGCATTTCAGCCTCATTAAGAGCCAAAATTATCCAATATATCTGTGACAAACTTTTTTTCTGATGTACCCGATTTGCTTATTGACGTTGCACATTTTTTGACACAAAATTTAGGTAATAGTTACACCAATAATCGAATACCTTCTACTGAGGAATTTTATTTCTCTGGGAATGATACGAGCGTAGATCATTTTAGGCTCGGGTATAAAAGTTAATACGGTGACTCGCCATTTCTATCACTGCCATCTTTAGCTCATAGGTCATGCGTGCTTTGTGATATGAGTTTGTTAGAAGTTGTGATCTTCTAAATTAGGTAAAGTTGTGCGAGGCTGTAAGTTTGAGCTATGGGATGATTTGGACGAGGCATGTTCCGAACTGGGTTGAAATTTAACCTCGAAAGGTGAAATTAGTCATCCATATTCGTCGTTGTTGTTGCTGATCTGTGTGCCGAATGTGTTCATTTTTTGAACTAAAGTAAACAGAGGTCTGCTCCTAAGACATGGTCATTTGAAATTAAAAAGACCCAAGTACGAAAGATGTTAAAAATTACTTAGATTTCTAAAATACTTTCTCTTTTAAAAGTGCTGAATGTATTTAATTTTTACTATTAGGCACCATGATTAAAGGACGAATAATCAATCATTCTGTCCTTCTTATGCAGTTGCTCATTGCTTGATATGTTTTAAAAAGATTTATAGCGAGTGTGCGTTCGCCTGGCAATGTTGTAGGTATCCCGAGTACCTACGAACAGTTTGCCGCTCCGACAATACTTGCTGCAGTGAAATGCCCTCTATAGCTCACTGTAGAGCCGCATTTCACGTCCAGACATAGGCAGTTCTTTTTCTCTTTGCTATCATAGCTCATTGGTTTCTCATTGAAATATTTATATTGATTGATGACGAGCTACTTTTCTAGATGCACAGTCATGAAATGTTCAATTGATGTTTGTCTTCGTATTATGGATTTACGATGTTTACTACTTCGCTCACCCATAAGGGCTCATTGCTTACAGAGGCTTCAACTCTTCGGTTCCGAGCTTTTTAAAGCAAATGGGTTCAGAGCTTGTTGAATCGAATGGGTTCCGAGATTTTTAAAGTAAATGGGTCCAGAGCTTGTTAAATTAAATTGATTCCGAGCCTGTTAAATTATATGGGTTTCTATCAAGTAATCAAAGTATTCTTGTAAAAGGAGAGTTATTGGTATGAATAGAGTGAAAAAGTATCATAATTAGTTATTTTGTGAATTGATAATGTGAATTTCAAACGAATTAAAAATTTAATTTTATTTGTTTCTAGGTCAGGAACTTTTTCCTTGCATCACTCCATGGGCTCCAGACTTCTCTACAATCACGAAAATATTTTAGAATGCGCCCGTTGTTTGTGTGCTATTCTAAATTACGTCACCTTAAACTCTTCATATTTAATTTGAAGCTATTAAATTCATTTCAATATTTGCCGTATTAGATATTTATGCTTGCTGAAATCTTATTTAGGCTAAGCTTACTGGTGGAGTCGTTCGGTTGCCGTGTATGTAGATCTCCTTTGTATTGTTGAGCTTGGAATATCTCATTAAATGTGGCCTCCTCTTGTGTTTCATTGCCACACTTGGTACGTTCATTAGTAATCGAGGTAATAATATTTGGTAAGTGAATTTGTGTCGGTTCTTGAGCTTGTACACTTTTTCTTGCTTAGCTTGGCGTGCAGTGAGATGACAGAAAATGCCTCGGAATTACGAAGATGCCATTTTTATGGAATATGTATTGATAAACTATACATTGAATTGAAACTGGGCAGTCTTATGCTTAGGTCTGTTTAATCCTATCAAGAGACTTAACACTAGGCGCTGAGAATTTTTCCGTCTGTTCACCTACATTTTTAAAGGAAAAAGCGGAAAAATTAAATCCGCTCCATTTCCGCATTCCTTGTTGGGAAGAACGAATTCCCTGAAGAAAATAAATGAGGAATTCTAATTCAAAGATGTCGGATATCCTAGCGAGGTTAAACTACAGAACCAAAACACGGGTGCGTGACTCGTGAAAGTAGATGTTTGAGGTCCCAAGGAGCTCGATGTCGATGCCAAGTGAGGTATAATAAAACACAAATTAACTCAAGCATGTAGCACTCGAATACTCTAGAGTTTTCTGACAATCTTCCAACCAGTAACAACTTTGCGATAATCTGACCGTTGCTGTTAAGAATGCTGCAACAAGTGAATACCCTAATGACGTGTAAATGTATGAATACGTTTTCAAAGCTCCCATAATCACCAAACAAGAAGAAGAAAAGGTTCAAACCAGAAACCACCGACATATACATTTATCCTATCTATATTTATGTACACTAAATAATTTGATACATTTAATTCAATACAATACTCATAAAAATACTAATCGAAAACATACAACCACCTAACATGCCCGCGCATATCTCAGAACAATCCACACACATATATTTTGCAGGATATCCCCATTAAACTCAATGCACGAATCTGAAAAATCAAAAACATATATAAACACCAGTGCGTAAAAAACACACCTTTACACAAAAATCCGAAACATACATAAACACCATGTTTAAAAAAAAGGTGGCAAAAGCAATTATCGCTGGCAGTCTGACAAGTGTTGTTTGTACGGTAATGGAATCTGTTGTGAGGGTTAAGATTATCGATCACTTGACTGCTCACCATCTCCTATCAGACTGTCAAAATTGTTATATTGCCGGTAGGTCCTGCACCACTAACTTATTATCTACGTTGAACAATTGTACTCGCATGCTGGACGAAAAGGAGCCAGTGGATGCATTGTACCTCGATTTTGCCAAAGCATTTGACAGTGTTCAGCATGAGCGGCTGTTGCGTAAAGTGAAGTCTTTGGGAATTGAGGGAAATGTACTCCATTGGATCAGAGATTTTCTAGTACCTAGGTAGACGACAACGTATCAGTATTAACGGAACCGTGTCAGACTGGGCATCAGTGCGCAGTGGCGTGCCACAAGGAAGCGTTCTTGGTCCTATTTTGTTCGTTGCTTTTACAAACGATCTGCCAGAAGTAGCGTCAAGCGTGTGCTCCATGTATGCCCACGACACATAAACTTATAATACAGTTAAGGATGCGTCAAATAAAGCGCAATAAAGTCTAGATCGAAAAAAAATTTGGGTGTTTATGTCGACCAGAAGCTGAAATTGTCTAAGCATGTTGGGACACAAGCTAATAAATCCAACAAATTTCTTGGACTGATCAGACGCTCATACGAGTTCATAGTTGCAGAAGGGATGAAGCAGTTGTTTGTTGCTGTTGTGCGCCCGAATTTAGAGTTTGGAAACGTTGTGTGGTCACCGAGATTTGAAAAGGACAATAATTTAGTAGAGAATGTTCAAAAACGTGCAACAAGGATAATTCCGGGCTTGAAGGGCAAGTCCTATGAAGAAAGGTTAAATATTATGAAGCTTCCAAGCCTCAGTTATCGACGTCTGCGTGGGGACCTCATTGAAGTATACAAGTATACTCATGGTTTATACAAGGTCCCAGAAGGCTTGTGGGGACCTCATTGAAGTATACAAGTATACTCATGGTTTATACAAGGTCCCAGAAGGATTACTAGAATTTGAAACAAGAACCAACACCTGGAACCGAAATGAGACGTTTTAAATAAAAAAATATCACTAATGTTGAGACGTTTTAAAGAAAAAAGGCCCACAACGGATTCCAATACTTTTTCGATTTACTAGTTTATTCTGAGTGACTTGTTCCTCTATCCACAACCGTTTGGATTTTATCGTCGCTTTATCAAAAAATTTCATGGTAAAACAACGGGTAAAAATTGCGTCGGTTGAAAATTTTTACACGGACTGAAAGATCTTATTGAGATCTATCAGATGAGCTGTTTAAACCCATATCTTGATTAGCGAGATTTTAATTTCCGAGACGCCTAAAATAATAATAATAATAATGTTTTTTACTTATAACTCAAAAAGTTTCAGGGACAGTGGATTGAAGTTAGAATGGGATTATAACTTAAGTTCTTGGTTACAAATTTGAATTAAAAAGAGACCTCTAGACCTTATGATTGTTTCACCGGATCCTCCAATTGGGCCACTTTTTCGCGTTTTTTTCGCAATTTTTCGACAACTTGAGGGGATTTGACAAAACCTACGGCTCGAATTTCATCAAAATGTTTTTTACATGCACGAGACCCCACAGAATAATTTCACTCGACATGAGCCATAAAATTTAACCGTCATGGAAATAGTTATTAAACTTTTTCTCAAGTGCATTTTTACAACTTTCAACATACGATTCCTACAAAAAAAAATTAGCCGTGACGAAAATGTTGGCCCAGGCCCAATTAGCTTAAATACAATTTAGGGCAGTAGACCACGAGGTTGGAGAGCTAAAGGTTAAAAACTAGTTTTTTCAGGTATAATTTTTGAAATCACGGTTCGACTTTTCTCAAAATTTTTTTGAATGCACGCAAGTGTTCTCGAGTGGCATACCAAATTGCAGAAAAATCGAACAATAACTTTGTCCGAAAACAGCAGCGCCGGATTTTCATGTTGAAGTTTCTGGGCGTTATGCACGATCCGGGATATAAGCAAAAGACGCTAGCCGAAAATTAGGGGTTTGACCAAATAAGGCCCCAAACACAAGCTCGCCGTCTGACTTGGCCTCAAGGCGAGACTCAAGATTAGATTTTTTTCAGAATTTTCAAGGGGGCCCCCGAAATTCGGCCCCTGTGAGGTAAAAGCTTCCCGGGCCTAGTACGTCGTGGGGAGTTAGACACTTTCAACTCATGAGGTAAAATCAGTGATTTTATGATGCCTGTAGATTCATTTGCAAGGATATTGCGTTGAGAGGAAGCAACTTCCGGAAGTGTAGTTATGACGAACTTGCATGGGATTTTACGAAATTTGTAGATAATTTCTTCGACGACAACGCTGGACGTGGCGTTGGCTTCATCGTAGCCCTCGATGAAAATTACAGGACATTGACTCATCAAAACATATTCAACGTTGCGCACTCCAATTTGGCTACAGGCTGTAGGAAATGTTTTCTTGATTACATCAGAAAAACTGCTGGATTCTGTGTCATGGCACTTGAAATGGAGGAAGAAACCATGCGTCTTACCATAGATTAGTTCCAAAATGTGAGCATTAAATGGAGAGTGATGTCCTACTCTAGGCACGATCAGCTTTAAGCTCATATGCATGGGCTGATTGCAGATCAGCCCATAAGGCTGATTGAGCCTATGACTTGGAGATTCGTAAATACAGATGTACCGTCCATCAAATATATTTTTTAATTCCAGGTAGGCAATCCTTTCTCTGTTCTCTTCTACAAAGCGATAGACTACAAAGGCGTCATCATCGACGCGCAGAGCAGAGTATTTATCCCAGAGCGCCTGGCAAGCTTCCTTCACCCGCTCCGCCTCAGCATCCGGCACGCGGTGCTGCTGAGCGGCCTCGCCTATCAACTCGTTTGCGATCTCAGTGATCCTGTCGGGCATCCCAGTGAGTTTTGAAGGATCATCGCACTGGTTTACGGACACCGCAGTTCTGAGCTCCTGCACTTCTTCCATAAGAAGCATCAAGTTCTCATAGTCTACCGGTTCACCCGAAATCAACTTCAGTGACCCCGCTGTGAGAAATTCGGAAACAATCTGAATTAGAGTCAGAGCATCGAATGGACGTGAATCAATCTCCTCGCAATTATATTTTTCCAGAGCCTCCTGCACTGGTGGGAATGGAACATCATAATTTATCGGTTTGTTAAATCCACGAAACTTGTTCGACAGCAGATATTTCATTAAAGTGTCCTGCGAAGGCTTGTCTGCGCACACTTTCTCCAGTACAAATCGCAACGCGGGAGGCAACACAACGTTCAGGGCGTACAGACTCCTGTACACGGCGTCCAGGTCCCCGCATGATGAGGCCAACGGACGAGCGTCATCCTCACCGACGGCAGAGGCTCCGGGGAGACTAGCAGGCGACATGAAATTTTTTGATGAGGCGGACCTGCAATTTTATAAAATGAAGATTAAATACAATTTGCAATCAATACTTGAAGTTCAAAGTGTCATGCATGCTGCTCGAAATTTCCAAATGAAATAATCTTGAAATATGTATGAATTATTTGATAAACAGGGCTGGAAACTCGACCTTTTCTCATTTCAATTTCGGTTTCTAAAGCGATCATTTAAACAACAAAAATTGTATAATTGCAAATATGACCCGGAGCATGCGCAAAACAAGATTCTTAGAAACAAAGTTCACAAAATTTTTCGTAAATCACTAAAAACCTTTCTCAGAAATGTCATGCAACGTGGAATCCCATTCGATCCAGAACCTGTGGGTACCAACCTGCTGGGTTCTGACTGGGGAGGAAGCGGCGGCTCATCGGTGAGAATTAGCAAGCAATCCTTCGTCTCTGTGTTCTCTCTGGATGGGAGGAGAACACTTGTGTATCACAGAAAAATAATCATCGATCTGATATGGTGAAAAAAGAACTACAAATAGCTCCAGGTAATTGTAGAAATCTAATTTCAGTGAGGAGAATGTAATCAAACTTAGCTTCCAAGAGTTTAAACAGGCAACTTCTATTTCAATTAACAAGAGACAACAGAGCAGCAACTGTCAGAATTTTTGTCTGATTGTCTACCGTCACCACCCATACTTGCTGTTGCGGTTACCACGTTACCGTCTGTACCGTGGTCTCACCAAAGATTGCCATGATTGTCTCTCACCAAAGATTGTCATGATTATCTCTCACCAAATTAAGATTGCCATAATTGTGTCTCACCAAAGATTGTCGTGATTGCCTCTCACCAAAGATTGCCATGTTTTTGTCTCACCAAAGATACAAAAAATAAAACAGCGAAAAGAAAAGAAAACATGTCAAGACAACGTAATGATTATGCAAAATGATCTTACTAAAACTTTGAGCAAGCACGATTTTAGCACATGTAACTGAAAGTTCTATCAAACGCTTATGGCTACATCGATCTGTCTGATTTTTGGTGGAGAGATGCAAAAAAACATAGGGAACAAATCCTGACCTTCCAAACATTTTTAACTCTATTACTTTTTGAGTTACAGCCATACAAAGTTGAGTATCGTTTTTTTTGACACCCTGTATAGTGTCGTTACTAATACCTTAGCTATTCTTGTTCTGAAATCTAACCTTGTCTAACTCTAAATAAGTAATTAAGAATTAAAACTCTCTCTTCATTCATCTTTCCTATATTAAGATATGCAATAAAGAACTTATAGGACCTAGTTATAAATTTAGTGTTAATAATTAGCTGTGCTCACGACGAAGTCCGGACATTTTTCTGGAATTAATCTATTGGTGAGTCAAGGTCTTAAAGTGGTCATAGATCCTAGCACAGCACACTGGAAAACTGAATCCAAACTAAATTACCAGCAACTATATATAGGATCACATCGAAGATAAAACATCAATATCAGCTGCTTATATTACTATACTAGCGGCTCAACCTCTAATTCCCAAAGTGAAGAGTAATGAATAAAGAATTACCCGGTTAAACTACATTTTGTATAACAGTGTATAGGTACTCCCATATAGCTCCATTTTTTAATGTTATTTTGAACTTTGAAGTTTTCAAAATGAATAAAATGAACCCTTGTCAAACTATCGATTACATGTAAAATTTTTACAACAAATCTTTACACCCACATTTTCCAATGTCTCGTGGTTCCACCGTTAAGAATGGGATTTCATCACCACGTAATATCTCCACATGTTAAGCATCGTGGATACGCGCCCAAACCGCATCTAGAGACTCGCATTTCCAGGGCCAGACTTCAAACAAACCTACAAACTTTCGCGAATATTAACAGATTTAAATACGCAGTGGCATGATCGAAAATTGCCGCTGGGAGGTAAACCAGTGGTAGATTTATCACTAATCATAGCGACAATATCATTGAGGTTGAATCAACCTTTTCAATGTTAAATGAAAATTGTATTCTTAAATTTACCTGCAGGCGACGTGAATATTATCCGGTTGCACAGTGATCACCAAAATTTCATCAAATACGTTTAGTGCAACAAGTTGAGCAGGTGGTTCAATGACTGCTTTGGTACTTAGCACATACACTGCACAGGCCTTCATGATATGAATGACAAACCGAAGTTTCTATGGATCTAGGCAGGCACTTTGGTTGAAATTCAGCTGTCCCACTGAACTTCCAGATGCACCATTAACTAAAAATTGTTTCTACAAGTCCATTTACCGAATTTTCAGCGCTCGACTGGGCCCCGCATGGATCTGCCGGTCCCGGAAGAGCGTCCTGAGCCCCGCCCGCTGCAGTTCTGCTAGCGTCTCCTGCAGCTGCGCTTCAGTCAATGCGCAGTCACACAGCTCCAGCCTCGGAAACCTGAGGTAGGGGGTTCATTCCATTAGCGTAGTTTTGAGACTGGACCAATAAAAAACTTATGTCTTAGATGACCATCGGAATGAAGAATTCCCACAGGAACCAGCCAAGCCTGTCCTCAACATTCATTTTAAAGAGTTCTGAACTAATATGACTTTGATATTTCTAACAAGGTCTACGGCTTCGTAGCTCTGGTCGTTGGCTCCAGAGCTGGTTTAAGAGTAATATATGTGGGCAACGGCTGCACGTCAGAAGATATTAAGTATTTCAGGTCCATCGTCTCGTCGTCGGTCGTCAGGCTTCAATCATGAAGGTTCGCAAATCTCAAACTTCGCAAATCTCCAAAAGTACTCGACATGATGTTCGTTTGCCCAAAGGCTGTATGTGCGAGTTTCTCGACCATTGGTGACCTCCGCAGCCCTAAGCAACGTGCGTTCTGAATATGCCACGGTTGTGCTAAATTTTACTGCTCGTCTTGACTAGACGCGAGTGCTTAGGATATGGTAGCACAGCGAAACTTGGTGCTGAATCGTGTGTGTGGCAGAGGATGAACATTCAGTGACGTACGACGTGATTTTTGCTATGTAACTCATGAACGTAAAAAATCTATAGATTCGCTCTTTATTCTCAAAAATTGTTTTAAAATATATTTCTAGTCCGTGAAAAAATGATCGAATGGGATGTATGAGGTCTTAATGAAATAATACTACTGCGTCTCGAGCTTCCTAATTAAAGGAAACTTAGCAAGGGTGTTGGTTCGGAAGCCAATGCTGCGCCATCTCTGTAGCTCCACCTTCACGTATGGTTTGTCAAAGCCTAATTTAGCTGCCATTTTTCTTGCACGTTGCCATATTTTGGACATAGTAGCATACGAGTCCAAAGACGTAGCTTCTTATAAAATAGTAGCTTCATCAAAAGAAATGCGTGGAAAAAGATCTTGAAGTTTGTGTCGACAAGGAGCTAAAATTTTCGAGGCATATTGAAACGCAAGTTAATAAATCCAATAAACTGCTTGGGCTGATCAGACGCTCCTACGATTACCTAGATATAGAAATGACGACGCTGTTGTTCACCTCTGTCGTGCCCCCGAACCTAGAGTTTGGAAACGTTGTGTGGTCACCGAGACTTAAAAAGGACAAAAATTTAGCTGATAGTGTTCAGAGACGTGCAAAAAGGATAATTCCAGGCTTAAAGGGCAAGTCTTATGAAGAAAGATTGAAGATTATGAAGCTTCCCAATCTCCGTTATCGTCGCCTACGTGGTGACCTCATTGAAGTATACAAGTATGCTCATGGTTTGTACAAGGTCCCAGAAGGATTACTAGAATTTGAAAAAAGAACCAACACCAGGGGCCACGGCTATAAACTAAAAAAACTGCCTGCTGTACAACTCATCCATGCGACAACATTTCTTCTCGCTTCGAGTCACCGACATGTGGAACAGCCTCCCGGAAGATATTGTTGACGCTCCGAGTATGAACGCGTTCAAGAACAGACTAGACAAAGCCATGCAGGAGCATATGTTTAGTCTTGAAATGCCTCGTACCCTACGGAACAACTGAAATCTAGAAGCGATTTTAAACCTAGCGTCCGTTGAAAAGATTTGATCAAAAGGCCAGTCTAGTCAAGAAAAGTACAAGAATCGGCGACAGGCCTATCTAGGATTATTCCTCAATGCCGAAGATACTATACTATACTAATAGCTCACGAGTTCAAGAATGTAGCACATCAGTGTAGTGTGTAGACTGTAGAGACTACAACCACTCACTATTCTTGATATGCGTGGCATGTTTTGGCAGATTTCTTATCAGTTACATTAGTTTTAATTTTTGCATTAGTACAGGCTCATGGCCAATTTAAACTAATACATATCGACCCAATGCAGTTGAAGAGGATATTTTTGGACATCCTCATGAACCGAATGAGGGCATGTATTTCTTCATGATTGTAATTTAAACACTATACCTGTTGTCAACTGGGGAAAGGCCAAGTAAGGTGTGAGTCAAGAACTCGTGCTGATTTTTGGCAATATGCTTCACCCGTACAAAAGTGCGAGGAGACACGGGGAGTGCAACAGCATTACCCTGACATGTGGAGAGTTCAACAATCACTCCTGCAAGGGAAATAATCTATGAAATGATTCATAGAAAATACATTGTCTAGGTTGTTTACATGTGGGAAGAGTTGGAGCATCATGTATACGATCATGTGAATCAAATCACATAATACCTTTTACCACAACTTTGAAAAAATTTAAATTATGGACTTTTTGACTATTTCATCAGTTTCCATGTTAACAGTTTCCAATAAAAGCTACGGTATTGCAAATAAATTTCTATTTTTCTACACTGACTCAAAACTTGATGCTTGTCTTGTAGGGGAGTCAAGTCAACGTGTGGGGGCATGACAATTATGAAATCTGTGTCGGAGGTTGCAACTTTTGCCAAGGTCTGAATGCTGCTTGTGTCCTCAATACAACCATGAAAAGCTGACAACACGCAACTGCACAAAAAAATTAGCCGTCAAAAATAAATAATTGAGAAGACTCAATAAAAAAAATTTAAAAAGTATCCACAAAATGGCTGCCAATTGTGTGTGAACTGCTCTCAACAAAATAACCTCTGTTGGCCAATGCACCTTGAAGAGCTCAAAGCTTCAACCACGTGGTCACTTGGTGTAAAACACTCGAGGTTATCTAGGAGTAACAAATCCAATTTGTTTGTGAATGTTCTGGCCACCTGGCGCCACGACTCGGGCGCTGGGTTATCAAGGAGCCCGACTCCGAGGGTGGCGGGCTGATGGTGAGGCAGCAGCGGCGCAATGACATCAACATTGCCTGCGTGTGCAAACCTCTTATGATCTGGAAAATAAAAATGGGTGATTATTACCTTGAAATCCAATCATCATCATTATTCATTAAATCTTTGCAAATTGTTACGATAATAACGAATCCGTGAAGATTATGGCGTATGATTATGATTAAGATCGCAATTACAAAAGCGTGTAAATTCTACATAGGTTTGATAAGTAACAACAAATGGAGCACAAGTGATGTATTAGGTTATGTATCAATGCTCATTAAAGACACCCGCAAGCCTTGGATCAAAATGTACCTGCTAGCTCACTATAATGAGAAAGTCTTTACTGTGAACTCCTTCATGTCACGCCTGCTCTCTGCTCGAGCTCAGGGTATTAGAGAGCAGCAGTATTTGAGAAATTACACATTCTTCTCTGTGAGTGTAGACAATGTTCAGAGGAGTAAAATATCGAATCGTAACACTTGAAAAAGAATAAGCAAATAGAGTGATGCCCACACTATCTGCTGTGGTCTAGAAATTTACGTTATATCAAATAAATTTTATATCGATAGAATATCTGGCAATTATTGCCAGATTTGTTGTATTTTATTTTCTGTTGATTTATCCTACACACCATTCATTTCTGTTCACACTTTCCTCTTTAATTTTGGCAAATAGAGAAGAATTATTGTTAACAAAACTGTCTCTAGGATGTGCGTGAATTCAGCAATTAAGGCAGGTCAACAGACAGAAATCGCATAAATTCAGGTAATGTATAAATCTTCTTCAATATTTTCTATATAATTATTCTATGTTGTTATGAGGTGATAGATATCATTGTTAAAAAGACTTTGTGTCCCCTGAATGACCACAAGGTCCATAAACAACCATCAAGAAACGGCTATCAAGGATCTCATTGACAAAATGAAGATTCTCGCTGATTCGATGGTATAATGTTGGTTGTGGTGATGGTGATGTTTTTGGTGGTGCCACTACCCAAATAAAAATTAAGGGTGGAGCACCGATGATAATAGGTGGCGATAGTAGATTATAGGTGGCGTAACGGTGGGTGGCCAGATCTGCCGAAAATCGACAATAAAACACCAATAAATCGAAAGAGTGGCGAGTAAAGGTGGGAGTCATCGATGAATCATCGATGATTTGTAGGGTCTGAAACATCTATGGCTCATTGCAGACAAATCTCTTGTGAGCCACCGATAACCGTTTGCCCAAACTGCACAGTGCACGAAGGTATTTGCCAATGTAATTTATCCAACGTAGAGAGGTGCTTTTGGGTTGCAGGTCATTCAAGATTAAGACGAAACCATGACTTGTGCTTGGCGTTCTGGCGTTCGTTCGGCGTTCTGAGACGAAACGTTCTGTGTGCTTAGCATATAAGATTAAGTTCTGTTAAGAAAATTTAGCGAAAATTTAGCGTGAATTCAGTAGGTATGAGAAAAACTGACAGATAGACAAGGTGTTCACAAATTTTCCAAACCAAAGTGAAGCCACTGGGCATGTATCACACTGCTTCTGATATAAATTGTCCGCAGAACAATGGAAAATTTTTGTCGCAAAAAATAGTTTCTCAAAAGATGACAGCGAATCAAATTTTTTATGTTCACATGAGACATTGAGTAAATTTATTACGAATTTTGCGTATACGCCAACTGGCTGTGTTGAAAATATTGCGATCAATTCAGACTAATTATTGTATCATTAAGTATAAATTGCATGGATCGATTGAGTGTGTTATATAATATAAACAATATTCTCAAATCGCCCCATTTATCTGAACTCTAAAGCCACGTCGACGTAGTCTGTAGAGGTAAGGCATCTCTAAAGCACAGCGGCTCGGCGGCTCCCATGCAAGCACAGCGAGCAGTCGAGTAAGCAAGCACACGTTCACACGAGTTGGGTTTACGGAAGTCGGCGTTGAGCATCGTACTAATCTTTACTATGACCTGCTTCCTACTAATCTTTACCATGTCCTGCTCGAAATATCTGCTTTCCGGATTATTTGCTCGTCAAAAAAGTATCATTTTTACGCAGAGGGATACGAATAAAAATTCGTCTTTCTATCGCTTACTTCGATAGTGGAATTTAATTATTTAGGGAAATTTGCTTAAACAGTCCGATAATTATTTCGATTTTAAGTCTAAATTGGGACGCCTGTCGGAGACCACCACTGCCGTGCTTCGAATGGACTATCATGATCCCTTCCCTGAAGAACGTAGCCTACAGCACATCTTGACTGTAATCTAAATTTTTACTAGAGTGGTCCTGGTATCTTTTGTACGCAAAAGATTGAAGATTATGCAAGAGAAAAATAGTGGCACGAAGTGGAGCAGGTAATTCACGCCTGAAATTTCAAAATAATCGAGTGATATCAATTCTTATTTCACGCAAGAATATTCTTTATGAAATATTTCGAATCAAACAGCTGTCAAAATTGGTGTAATGTTCACATTATGAAACTTCGATGCTTATTAAGCATTTTTCCGTAGCCTTTATTCTGAGCTGAACCATAGTTCGTTACGAATAAACGGAGTTTGTTTCAGTGGCTGTTTATTTGAATGTAGCAGCATGTTCAAATAAAATTGTTGATGGAACCATCTAATCATCACGGTGGTAGCACTAACTTCTGACATTCGATGAAATTAATACTTGCAATACTTCAGTCAAATATTTTTAAATTACTCTAGAGCCTAGTCCTCTCCTATAGCCCAACGGTAGAGGCTCTGCTTCGCGTGTGGGAGACCGGAGTTCGAATCCTGCAGGCAGGGAGTTTCTTCAACTCGATTTCTCACGAGGTATGTGTATGGTACTCTGAAAACATGTTCCCGCTACATGTCTGACATTGTTCTTGTACTATAATGGTAGATATATGTACGCAGCCCTTACAACGCTGATTGTGTGGAACTATGTCAGTAAATACATAAGCATCGGATTAGAAACTAAATCAAAAATTTTTTAAGACTTCATTTTAAAAAGTGGCCATCTGTGGCTCGTCAATGTGCCACTGGTGCCAATGGGTAGTTATTTGCGGAAGAAGAGCTTTACGGGTAGGGGGGCCATAGGCAGGTTATAAGTATGGTAAAGGTGGTGCACGCCACCCTTAATTCACTATATAAATCATAGCTGCTCCATCTATGGCGTCCGCCTATTGCCATCTTAAAAACATAGGTGCTCCACTCATAATTTTTATTTGGGTAGGAAAGTGATGAAAAAGCAAGAGGTAGCACAGGGTGGCCATACAGTAGAAGATGAAAATAGGAGCATAGTGCATAATTAGGTTGTTTCTTTGTTTGGGTTTAGGTTTGGATTAAGTGGGGATGGGAGGCAACCCGTCCGGGCTTTGATTGATTTCTGTAGAGGAGTGAGGGGTGAATTTGTAGTTCGATGCAATATTTAAAGTAAGACGATTGAGTACTGTTAAAAAATAATGTATATAAAAATAATGCGAACTTTCTATTTACAGGCATTTTGCTTCTTACTTTTTTGGTTTATTTTTATTAGTATTTTAAATGATGATTTGATGGGAGGAGTGGAGATAATGGTTACGTTGATGAAGGTGAAGGAGGTGAATCACTCGAGACTCGGAGAAATGTCAGTTGGTTTAGTGGTACAGGTTTTTGATCACGCCTTTCCCGTGCTTCACTCTCGGCAAGTCGTGTCAGGACTCAGACTCAGGCCGTCAGCGTCATCATGGTCTGAGCAGTGAGCACCGGCCGACCAGACAATGCGGAGTGGCGGACGTGTCGTAATGTATATGAAGGTGATGTGGGTGCTGTGTATGTTGTGTGATTGGTGGTTATTTGTACAGAGGTGTAGGTTGGGGGCCTATTACGAGTAGTTGGAGCTTTTGAACGACTGGTATTGCCTTGCAGTGGCGGCTGGAGGGAATGTTAAGTGGTTGAAGAGCTGGGGGTCGTGTGATTTTATGGTGTGCCACGTTTCACGACCTTGTTGGTGGACTACCGTATTTATGGTGGGAATGTTGCATTAATCGTGCTGTGTTCGTAACGGTATGAAATCGGACCAGCGTATGTTTGCAATGAATTTTATGACTTTATTTTAGAATGTTTGCATTTGGGAACTTGATGTTTTAAACATGGTGTGTAGGGGTATATCGACCTAAATGAGGTACGATCTAACAAATGTGAGGTATAGGGTGTGTTTGTTTACGTTGAGTTTGAGGTGATGAAATTTATGTATTTTCAGTGAATTTGTGAGCTCTATTGCTTTTCTTTCACTTATCTGGGACCTAAAGCTGTGCGTTGTGTAGTGTAGTTCTATGATGGTTCCTTTGTCTAATGGTATTTAGTGTTGTCAATGGATAATTTCAGATGCTTTTCGCCTCGTGAGGGAGATGATTTTGGACCTGGTTGTGCTAGTCATGTTGAACCATTTATTTTCAAGTGTATTTATCTGTTGTATGGCGTGTTGTGTCTGTTTTGCTGTGTATACAATGCCAGAAGTGAAAGCTCCCAAGCACTAAAGGTACTCAAGAAACGAGCTACCTGTATCGAAGTAGACTTCAGCAATCGCTGCCGCAATGTGTTGCGAATTAGGGCAGTTCCGTACAATTGTCTCCCAGAAACGCTTGTCAACGTCTCCAACTGCATCACGCAGGAGCTGCCAGTTATTCAAGAAGACAGTGCGATCCTCAGCAGCACTCAGCTCCATGAACACATTCGTGATCACTTCTGAGTGCCTGTTTGAATTATTAGTCAATTATTATTTTTGAGGCTAATTCATAAGTAAATCACACGAACAATCTGCATATGGTTCTGCTCATTTCTGAACAAAAATATCAGTCATTATGAAAAATAAACCCTCTGACAAAATTGTACTACTTATTACTAAAATATAAATGATTTGCTTTCTCCATTTAAAGTCTGTCTGTATAGTTGCGTTTGAATGGTGAATGAATCCCAAACATTACCAAATGATTCGGATGCATTTGAGGAAGTGATAAGGTTGCGCAGTTCTAGAGTTTAGGAAAGCTTCCAAAACTTCATAATTTTAACAAAACAGCACAAAAAGATAATGTGTTCAGTGACACATTCATTAATTAGGTCAAATTAATTTATTAAGACCTAAATTAACTAGGTCTCTTTATAAAATGATTTTAATTTAGCCCTTTGAAACGTAGGTGGAATCAGGCCTGATAAAAATATTATTTAATCCTCTAACGACAACCGCATGAGTTTTCTATGTCAGAGACAATGTTAAGAAACTCAATTAAATATTTCTCAACAGAAAACTCACTGGAAAAATTCAATTTTCTGTGACATCAGGATGGGCGGTAAGGCATTATTCGCACGGAGCTCCATTAAGACAGGCTTGGAAGCAAACAGTTCTTGTATGCTCGTGTGATGAAAGAAATAGGTGCACGATTTAGAATTTTTCATTGGACGTTTTATTTTCAATACAACACCCCGAAGAGCATCAGGATCAAGCGTCCCAAGCACCCCATATTCTCTGAGTTTTGATCTGATACTGCGTATCAAATCAACAACTTGCCTTGCAGAGAAAACGAAATGACGTTCACATGTCATCTTCAAGGAGAAATTGCCTAAGTCTTGAAAGAAAGAATCGATAAGGCCAGCCTTGTCAACAATGGAGTGGGAAGCCAGCTTTGACTGAATAATTTTCTCATACAGATCATACGTGACTTGAGCTACAGCAGCATAAGATTTCCAATCATTTATGTTTTCAGGAAAGTTCCAGACTAATTAAGTGACAAAAGAGAACCAAATTAATGGGACGAACAAAAAATTTTTGAACGTGCCGTCCAAGAGCGCTGAAGCTCTTTCCAACTTTCTCAGCATGTGGAGTGACATGTTTTTCATACTTTTCCAAAAACCTTAGTTGGTCATCTAAATCACAAATTTCCGATATCTCATATTCTTGGAACTTCACGCCTTCTCGCTTCAGAAAGTCCATGAGCTCATCAGCAGCACTTGGCCTGGTGGTGATGATCACACGACACTCATGGTTCCTCATTTTGTTCACCATCTGTTGCACAACCTTATACGAGTCTTTATTACATTCATCAAAACCATCAATGAGAATCAAAGGGTTAGACTCGGTGATTCCTTGGATAACAGTTTTAGGGCCGAGTTTCTGGCACACTTTCTCAAAGTTTTCTTCTACTACATCAGCAAATTCTTTTGTAGAAACATCCCTGCATTCATAGTAAAGTAACAAATTGTGATTCTCCAGATTGAGCATTTCTACCTCTGCATCTGAGATACCATGGTGCTGTATCACCAAGTTCTTGGCCAAAGTGGATTTCCCAGACCCGGACTCGCCAATGACTACAATGAACTTATCGTTCCCAGTTAGGAGTTCGGTGTAGGAGATCTTGTCTTCGGGTTGATCTTTAGGTTTCTGTAGTGTCAATTCCAGGGAATGGAAAACTTTCGAGCGTTCAACTTTGTCATCGCCAAAGAGCAGAGTTTCTTCAGACAACATCGCTTCCCACATGACTTTAGCTTCTTTGTTTCCATAAGTTTGCAGAAAGAAACGACAATAAGCCTTAGCTTTTTCATTATCTGTGCGCACTTCATCCCACATCCCATCTATCTGGGTTTTGACTCTCGTTACTTCATCAGCAGGGATGCTGTACACGTTGCCAGCTTCATCTATCACATCACGCAAAGCTTCGACAATTTCATCAAATTTATTAGGGTCCACAGCAGTGTCCTCTTGATGCACGACATCATTCCTGTGTTTTTTGGCAGTTGTTAGCAGACATTCTAGTTGGTTAGGAACTCTCACCTGGAGAGCGTTTGTGTATGTTTCTTTGGATTTGAAGATCTCGCACAAAAATGAAAACATGAGAGTTACATCATATTTTGATGAGTCTTCCCGAAGCATATTTATTTCCTTAGCTTTAAGTGTAACTTTAGGCGTCTTAAACTTGACTCCAAGCAGGTTCTTCAAATATTCATGTTTAGATTCATAGAGCTCCAATTTTTCTTCAAAGTAGTCTGCATAAGTCTGCCCTTGCTGCTTGTCGCTGCATTCCCACTTTAGTACGGCTCTGAAAACTTCACACATGGGAACTTGGACGGCAAAAATGTTCTTGTACCTGTTGGCTTCCCGAGGTGAAAGCTCAATCCCTGGCACGAGAGAAATATTCTGAGCGATGGTAGCCATATTTGCCAGCTGTTGTGTTTATCTGAAATTAATGAAATAATAGTTTTTACCAATACAGTATATATTGTATTTTCCTTATGCGAGCAAGTGAAATTGTTTCAAAGATAAATTGTGATGTGTGGTGGAAGATCTTGTATGATGATGTATGATATTCCTGCTCAGGGAACTTTTCGTTATATCTTGTATCAAGTTGTAGTTTATTATGTTTATTAATGTGAATGTTTTATAAAAATATTAGAAATTATGGTAAAAGCATGATAAATGAAGAACCTTGTAGGAGCCGTAAATGGACGCAGTTTATACTGGGAACTTACTTTTCACTATTACTATTGCAAATAATAAACTATTTCAGATGTTCATATAAATAAATTTTCGTTTAAAAGATCACGTATTGGTTGTATTATTGTATACGTTAGTATAACTTATATTATTTGACCATATGCGTACAATTTACGACCAGAGAGTGCATTTGAATTTTCAAGGAGCTGGGCAATTATTCTTAGATGACGTTGGTAGATCAAAAGGCAGATTTAGCAAACAATAACATATTACCGACGCCCCGAATGCAGCAACATCCATTTTCAAGTTAAGAGAAGCATTGAATAGTGAAATTTGGTTGGACAAAAGTACATAATACACGTAAATAGGATACAACACAAAAATTTCGAGCCAGAAAGTCCTTACGCAAACAATCTCAAATTTTACTTTAGACAAATCCGGTAGCTTGGAAATCGATAGCTGGGGTCCAATTCAAAATTAAGATGGTTCCAGCAATCGTTGGTCGATTAATGTTGTGCACCTCCGCATGATGACGCTGGTGGGTTTCTCCAGCACGGTGCGAGCGACAGTCTTGTGAGTTTGTCTCAGGGGGCTTCTCTGCCCTCCAGGTTGAAGATGACAGGTGAGACGGTCTCAATGTCGTGGTTGTTAGTCCAAATATGTCAGGCACGCTACCGTAACTCCCTTACTTATTTTAGCAGTTACTGCGTCACTTCCGTGACGTCTCTATAGCATGCCTATATAAGCTCTTCGAGCAGACCTTCAGTCAGTCTTAGGCAGCCACAGCCATCATGTAGTCCGCAGGACCAGGCCTGACTCCGGCGTCGAGTAGTCTCCGTCGTTAGAGTAACCATCTAAAACCTACCTTGTGTACTTATCACCAAGCTTCCTTGTATTCCTATATAGATAGTAAATATATAACTAAGAAACTCGCCTCTCAATCAACCTGCCGCTTATTCGGACCTTAGATAAAACCCTTGGACCCTCAACTCAAAACCTAAGATCATCCGGTTAATAATCAATACTGAACATTGATATAATATTATCGGGCCAGTCAGACCAAATCACATCCTGACAAATTGGCGCCCGACCGTGTGATAAAGTGGCAGTGAAAATGAACTTTGAATATTGTGAAAATGATTATTCAAGAGAGTTCAAAGAACGATAGTGAGGAAGAAGAAGCCCGACGAAAACTTCGAAGAAGAACGTCTACAACATCGTCTACAACGTCGTCGACGGATATACGAAATGCACAGGTAGAAATGTCACCATGCGTAAAACGTGGGTGTCTGAGATATATCGGTTACATATATAATGAAAAGAAGAATCGCGATAATAGATTTCTTCTTCAATAAAATGATGGCTATATATCTTCACAAATATTAAACGTCTTCCTAACTAAAAGCGCTGTGAATATATTCTGCAAACGCTGAATATAAAAATCTTAGAAGACGAACATTCATCACGTCAGATGAGCGAAGATCGTATTCATCACATCAGAAGAGCGAAGAGCGTATTCATCACATCAGAAGAGCGAAGAGCGTAGAGCGAATAAAGTATGATGCTGGCAGCGGTCACGACTACCATCCATACGAAAAGTTCATCGAATCCAGTTCACCGCAGCAGTGACATTGATTCAAGATTCAAGATGAGAGGTCGCGGAAGATAATTGAAGGCTATAATCAAGATTAGCGTTGCAGCAAAAAGATTACCGGACAACTGGCGCTGACCCGAAACGAATTAAGAGCAGGCTAACACCAACTACAGGCGCCTAGACAACGTATCGCCGCCCGGAAGTTGAGTATTCTATCTTACATAATACGTGGTAGAATAATAATAATAATAAATGTATGACGTCAATAAATACATGTATTCCACAGGTTACAAACTGCAGCAGATCCTAGGTATATAAAAAACTGCAGTAACGCACTGATCATGCGTGAAATTTTATATGCTTTAATGCAGCGAGCCTTAATATAGTAAACTTTTACTATAAATATTGCCAACGTAATTAACATGTTCTTCCATAAAACGTAGACGTGTGAAATTCTACTACATGTTGAGCAATAATAAGCAGAGTGTAAATTAATTAAATCGATAGGGTGCGATCGTACTACGATGATTGAGCACCATCGTTCGTACGTCAGTGGGCACTGCTCACGTTCACTGAGGAGTATGTTTCCTATCGTTATAATTAAATTACTAATGATGACGATTAAAGAGGCCGTTCACTCATAATTTTATGAGATGGAAATGAAATCCTGTGAGGTTATTAATACTAACTAAAATGCCGCTCTGATAAAAACTTCATATTGACATTATAAAATTTATCTTGTCAACGAACTGACGAGTTCTGAGGTATACGAAGATGAAGTTATATAAATGATGAACATTGACCTGTAAATTACATGTGATTAGATCGTCACTAACCATGTAAAAATGCGCAAATAATTATTACAGGTGATTTAAATAATCGCTCCATAACAATATAAAGATGTATATCTTATATTGGATATTTTAATTAAAAGATCGCTCAGTAATAAAATAATCCTTCAATAATGAAGTGGATTAATTGATCGCTCAGTAATAATATAATGCTAGACGACTTAAATCAACTAGATTGATAATAACGGTTATAACGAAATATTCGTCTTCCGATTTCCTAGCTTATGACGATTATTGATGTGATGATTAAATATTTCTTAAATTGTGATGATATGAAGATATTTCTAATTCTGGAGACGAGCTTTGTTACATTTTTTCTTGTGTTATTAGCATGGCTATAATAAACGTCAATTAATCTTAAGGGACGGGCTAATTAACACTGAATTAAAGTCTAAGTAAGTTTCTGAATTATGTGAAGAAAACCGCACTTTACGGAGATTTTATTCAATTTGGTTAACTCCGAATTAATTAATTGACTTTTCAAATGTCAGTGCGAGTATAATTGCTAAAATAGCATACATTGATGAACGTTACGAATGTTCAATTAATATGTTGAAATATTAATGTCAAACGCAGATGTTGAATTTCGTAAATACGATACTTCTTAACGTCATTTTTCATTCTAAATAACCGTGAAAAGCTGCAAATACGAAGATATTAAAAGTAAATAACGGTAAAATGACGAGCAGCGATAATAAGAGTACGTAGTAGCATTGCTACTGTGACGCGCCTGCACGTACAGTTTATGTGCGTGACATCGACGTACACAGAACGTTCAGAGATCAAGGCCACGCGGCAAGACATGTAGCTTAGGCGTGAAAATATTCCGTTACGAAATATTGCTCGTATTCAAAAAAAAATTGCATTGCATGCAATAAAGGGCAATGATGTTTTCATGATTCATACTGTTAAATGTTATTTCTTGTCAAGAATATAACGAGATGTAATAAATAATAGCTTGACCACTGCACGCTATTACGCATGCAGAAAATAAAATGTCAGTAAGACTGTTATTGAGATGACTTATAATCGTGGTAAAATTCACGTTGCTCAAAATTACAACATGTAGAGCATTAATATTGTGTTGTATAAATTCAAGTAATCAAGCTAGAGCATTTTATGATCAATATTAAATTGACAATGGTACTAATTGAATGCACGACAGGATGAGAATTCAATAGTGAATATTCTTCCTTAAATAACGATTGCGTGTATAGTCGAGTTGATGGAAAAGTGTTGAGTGAAAAATCGGTGCAGTAGCGTACGTGCTTATGCATTCGAGGAAATTCAATTCAGATCGCATTAACCTATGACCTAAAACTGATGAGAGTATTGCCTCTTAAAGCGACTCACAGTCGAAAGCTTGATTTATCTCACGATTCACGTGACGATCGAAAGACGATCGAACCGACGATCGCAATACGAAGTGACGAATTAAAGGCAATCGTTTTATGAATTGCAATTCAATTCAATAAGTTGTTCTTTGCAGTAAGAAACCTGTTCTGCGATCAATGAGAATAGTAATAACATATAACTGTTATTAGTAACTTAACGACGATTTGCACGCGAGATAGAATTTTTTTTCTTGTTTAATGATTGAGGTAATACTGCTCAATTGTAAAAGTTTTCTCCTTATAATTATGGGACCTTCATTCTATATTATCGTGATAATGATTTCTGAACGAAATTAAAAAGTAATGATACACATCAGCGATGTGGTGAGAAATTTTTCCTGCTCATGGTCACATGAGGAATTGTTTACAAAAACAAGCTTCCGCCGTCGCGTCTCAGAAATCGAATCGGATTTAATCCTGTTTCAATGTTGATGATTTTGCTCATGTCAGCGAATTACAATGGTCGTATCAGCAAACCAAGAGATTGAGTGTGATTGCGCAGTAATGTACTCGTGATTTGAAATGAACACAGGCGTGAAAAGGTGTTGATTATTTAGAAATCGCAGTATGCGATGTTGTCACATTGCATTTCCTGTTAATCAATTTCTGCTTACAGCGAAATTCCTTGATTAACTCAATTGCGACTTGATCGAACCACTGTTCATTAAAAATTTTAATACGACTTAACGAAGTAGTAAATGCTTCTTAATTTTGTAAACTTTAATTAACGTTCGTATAATGATATACAAATTTTAAAAGAAGTTCAGTGAGTGTTGTTACAGTTGTAACTGTAAACATTAAGATAAATGACGACTTAACTAAAATGATGGCATTATAAACAATAATAATATTTATTGTGGTTCATTCAAATGCATCATTTAA